TTTTTACGTCGCGAACGCAAAACAAGAAGCAGCGGCAGCGGCGGCGGCGGCGGCCGCGGCGACCGCTCTGCTCGCGTGGCACTTTCTGACATAATCTGTGCTTCCAGTGAGTGGGCAGCAATGACGGCGTGATGTCACGCAGCCACACACAAACACAAACGCGCACACTCCAAAGCACACGCATGTGTTCATGCTACGCTAGAGGGGAGCGCAGTGACTTGCCTGCGAGAGAAGTGATGATGTCACATGGCATGATGTCAAACATGGCCGCCGAGCAGCAGCCAGAATGAAAACTAGTCTGAGAAATTTAATCGACCTACATGTGCAAGAGAAGCAGCCTGGATGCATGACGGTTCTAATGCGTCGAGTCATTTCCAGGTTACGGATGTTTACAGTGTCTTCGTTGACTCTGTGGCGGCATCAGGATCAAAGCAGCATCTCCTTGTAGATGTGATTTCTGGTCATTCGTGCTATTAACTGTAACTACTATTCTATTCCGTTGTGTGCTTGGCATAAGAAAGGAAGTGCTGTTTTGTCTACCTGAGCATAAGCAGTGCTTTGTCTCTCTACTTGGCATGGAAAGTGAACCAGTGTCGCTCATATGTATGAATGTGTATATATTTGTGGGTGTGTGGGTGTGTGTGGGTGCGCAAACACACCCACACACATGCATATGCATATACACACACATGGGCGGCCAGTGGTGGATTGGTTAGCGCGTCAGCGTCACAGTGCAGAGGTGCAGGGTTCGATTCCGGCTCGTGCCTTTCTGTGTGGAGTTTGCATGTTCTTCCCGAGCCTGTGTGGGTTTTCTCCGGGTACTCCGGTTTCCTCCCACATTCCAAAAACATGCATGGCAGTCTGATTGAACACTCTAAATTGTCCCTAGGTGTGAGCGTGAGTGTGGATGGTTGTTCGTCCCTGTGTGCCCTGCGATTGGCCGGCGACCGGTTCAGGGTGTCCCTCGCCTGCTGTCCGATGCCAGCTGGGATAGGCTCCAGCACGCCCCGCGACCCTTGTGAGGATAAGCGGATCAGAAAATGGATGGATGGATGGATATACACAAATACAGATCCATACCCATACCTACATGTAGAAATCGTTGCACGCCAAGTGTGCTCTGGTTCATTTCAAAACAGGTGCTACATGTAACATTCTGCTCTCAAGTAACACGATACGTTTTCATACAAGCAAAAGGTGAAACAGACAAATATTCTTGAGCATTTGTTGGATATCTCTTGTCATTTCCAGCACTTTCAAAGCATTTACACCATGAAATTACAAGATTAAAATAGCAGAACTCTCCCCAGTAGGAAACCTGTTTTTGATAATGTTATGTGCATGAACAAATAAGAGGGAGTTGCCAAAATTTGCCTGCTTTCATTCAGCCCACTCACCCCCTACCCAACACTGCAGTTTTTACAAGCGAGCATATTATGTTTTAGTTTGGTCCATCTGTGTAGTCTGTGCCAGTTTTCACGCGGGCTCTCTCCAAAGCTAATCTGGTTATATAACACAGTAGCAAGGCGGTGATTTCGCCGAAGCTTGCGTTTTGAGGGCGATTTGGGACAAAGCGACATTCAGCTCAGTATACACGGGGATGCTGTGCGTGAGATTTTTCACCATCCTCCTTGTGCTGCCCTTTCTAGACATGGCAGCTGCATATCGCCGTGGTGTCCCTTGATTGCTCACTTTCTTACGCTCGCCGCCGGTGGCGTCGTGGTCTGCTCCGGATCGTCTTAACGCATTCAGAAGCCATCGCTGATTAACAACAACTTGGCTGCTGCTGCTAGCTTAATGGATAGCTTCATGTCAACTCCTTAGGTCAATGTGGTCCGTTGACCTGGTAGTTGACATTTCTGACAATAATATTGCGGATAAACATGGAATTTGTAGGAAATAGCAAACTGACCTGACCTCTTTTCTCCTTGGCTTACGAATTAAAGCAATGTTTATTTGGTTTCCTTACCATAAGAATTTAGTCTCCTATTCATAAAAATTCAAGTCTTTTGTATATTTTCTCCTCTGCATAAGTATTAAAGCAGTGTCATCATGCACTGGATTCCTCTTCAGAATAAGAATTTTAGTGGTGTTTTCTCACATACAGTACATTGTCTCCATGGCATAAGAATTAAAGTAGTGGTTTTTTAATAGCTGTTGTCTTCTCAGCATAAGAATTAAAGCTGTGTCCCCCCCCCCCACCCCCCAAACCGCAAATGTAAGCAGAGACAAAAGTCTCCCCGGCGTATGAATTAAATCAGCGTTTTGCCTCCAGTCCTCAGCATGACAATTAAAGCTGCACTTTTTGTGCATTTGTTGTCTGCTCAGCATGAGAATTTAAAGCATTGTCTCCTTGCATTTGTTGCCTCTGCAACAACTCATAAGCAGGGTCTTCCCGCCCACACGTTGTCACCTCAGCAAGAATTAAAGCAGCCTTTTCTCATCTCTGTTGTCGACTCGACTCGCCATGAAAATTAAAGCAATGTGTGTCACACTTTGTTCTGTTTTTTTGTTTTTGTTTGTTTGTACAGCAGTTTGAGGGATACTTGTCAAAAGGAAAAACTGCTCACTCAACTCAAGTTGAACTTGTAATTGATTGCGGTTGCTGCTTTTCTCCAGAGAATGTCCTACATGACATCAAAAATGTGTTTTTGTTGTCATTTCCCTGGACTTCAACACCACGCATGAGGTCATGGCGTTGAAGAAGCATCCTCTTATGCGTTCCCGTCACTATTTCTGGACTGTGTTCCCATATATAATTGAAACAAACATCGTCAAGCCGCGCACAAGCCATTAAACCTCCTGTTTCTGCTCGAGTTGTCCGAAGTGTCTGCTTGATCAGGAGCAGGTTTGTTGACGGACGCGAAGCCGCCACACGAGGGCGCCGCGAAGGCCTCGCCGCTCCGCCCGATGCAACGACACTTCTGATTGGCCGAAAAGCCGGTAGACTTTGACAGCATGTTCGCTATTAGCCAGTCGGCAAGCGGGGCGGGGCTTGTACTCTGCGCTCCAGCAATATAGTCCGCAGCCGGCGAACGCAGCTGGGCCACAAGGAAGCACGGAACGCACCGACGAGGAGCGAGGAGAGAGGAGGGAAAGGCGCACGCAAGTGACGAGAAGGACTCTATGTCATGTCGAGGACTCAAGAAGGCTGGACCACTGTTTGAGTTGTTCGTTTGTTCGAGTGACGCGTGTACCAAAGAGTCGCAACCAAAACCAACATGCTTTGCCACGTTACGCGTCCGGACTCGGTGGTGATGGAAGTGGAAGTTGACGCCAAGGCCAAGGGAGAAGACTGCTTGAACAAGGTGAGCTTCAGCGTCGGCGCCGGGACAAAAGAAAGACGCCATCCGATACCTTTTAAAGTAAATCGGAAGAGTAACGCGCGGAACGTGCGATTTGGCTCCAGTGGTCATGACAAACTTCATTCCGGTGTGCTGTTCAATGTTCCACACCTGAATCGGACAGATTAGCGAGAAACTTCACACAAGAAGTCGCAAGGATATTAAATTGCGGATGCGGCAAACCGCAACAAAAGTGAAGGCGCATCCACATGAACGGCTTGTTCTGCAAAGGTTACTCGAGTTCATTCTCATCGCCGAGCGCCTTCGCTGTCCGCCTCTGCGACGGAATCCAAACAAAGCGAAAGTTTTTGGACCGCACTTTTTAAAAGTCCACTTTTCGTCGAATTCCCGTACGGCTCTGTAGTTAGTACGCGGGCCTTGACGGAGTTTGATCATGTTATATAATCTGGAGTCCCTCGGTTGCATCTACTACTGCCGCTGCTGCTGAGGGGGCGTGGCCTGCGGGCTGTAAAGTCGGAGGAACATCCTCTCGCAAAAAGTCAAAACAACAACTCAGGGGTGTCCAAACTCTGTCCTTTGAGGGCCGGAGTTGAACATGTCCGTCATAGCTCTATTGTTGTGATTGACTCCTCGGTGGGAAAGAGCGATGGCATGACAGGAGTCAACTAGCAATAAATATTTTTAATATTTCCCCCGTCACATTATGACTCTTTGTATAACTTTTTTTTCTCCCCCCCCCCTTATGTTGCGGCATTTTCTCTTTCTTGTGCAACTTAACTTTTTTTTTCTGGAAAATGTTACAAGAATTAAGATGCATCTTTACAACTGTTCGTTTCCCGTTTTGTAATCATTTTAATAATACTTGATAAACTCGGTCATAATTATTTTTTTTTTAAGTGGAACGTTCTCATGATGCTGTTGTTGTTCATCAAGAACAATTTCTACGAACACGTTTTTGTCAGCATGTTGGCCTGAGTACTCCATAATTATTCAAGACATTTTCCTTAATTTGTACAACAATGTAATCAATTAATAATTGTACGGTATTGTTAAAAAAATGTTATGACTGGTCTTTTTTTCTCTCTCTCTCTCTCTCTCTCTCTCTCTCTTGGTCTTTTTTTTTGTCTCTCTCTCTTCTCCAGGTTTGCAGGAAGTTGGGCATCATTGAAGTGGACTACTTCGGGCCAGGTTTGCGGGAAGTTGGGCATCATTGAAGTGGACTACTTCGGGCTGCAGTTGACTGGCAGCAAAGGGGAGAACCTGTGGATGAACCTGCGCAATCGCATCTGCCAGCAAGTGGACAACGTGGCGCCGTGCCGACTGAGGCTGCGGGTCAAATTCTTCGTCGAGCCTCATCTCATTCTGCAGGAACAAACCAGGTATTGACACTGTTTCAAATGATTTGCCCACGGGGCTCGTCGATTGATCGGGAGGGTCGATTACATTTGGGTTTTTGGGTCAAGCTCAGGATTGGAAGTTTCGGCGGAGGTTTCTTGGTGGCTTCCATCATTGAAAGCGCAATGCAAGCGTAGTTAGCTCATCACTACAAAACGTCTTCGAGTAACCCCATTCCCAAGCTCTTCCGGGGTTACTGCAGGTCGTTGTGGTGTAGCAGGAGTTGTGAGCCAGCAGCTCTTTGCCTGGCGCCCCTGCCCCCCACTTTCCGGGACCTCTGTCACTGCCGCCCCCTCCCCCCCACTCAGGCTGGGAATGAGTGACACAACGTTGCGCCGGGCAAAAACGCCACTTTGACATTTTTGCGTTGGCCGCTTGGAAAAACGCCGCAGCAGAGGCCGGTATGTTCTGGCCTCACATTTTGTCAGGGGAATTGAGGTTGCTACGAATAGATGCACATTTAGTTGCTTGGGCAATTACAATGATCCAAAAATTTGAAGCCTGCTTAATCCGGAACTAGAAAAAAATAACATGCATGTGTTTATTTGCCAAATAAATAATTCAGCATGCTTACCTTTTTATTCCTCATTTTTATATATATATATATATATATATATATATATATTATATTTTTAGTCAAATGGTTTCTTAAATCTTAACTTATTTTTACTCCGTTTTATTTGAATTTTTAAAAACATTTCTATTAAAATCAGATTTTGAATACCTTTAAAGCTGTACCGTTTTAAATTAAATCTATTTATTTTATTGACACTGACACATTAAAATGGTGTACCTTTTTAAAATACCATATTTATTTTTTAACCCAGTTATTTTATTTCATTTATTTCGCTGCTTATTTGCCTTTAGTTGACATCCATTTTTTTTTCTTTTTTTTTCTTTTTTTTTTTTGCTAACCATTTAACAGAAAATGAACCATAGGCTGATATCAGAAAGGGTCTGTTTTTAATTAACCCATTTTTTAAAAAGTGGTGTTTTTTATTATTATTTCAATTTTTAAATGAAACACGTTTGAACACATCAATTGCAGAAGAAGAAAAAAAATAATCTTGATAAAGTTGGCGGGTCATCCTCTTTGCGTTTTACTGTCTGCCTCAAAGGTTTCCAAATATGGGCCTGAGGGCTGGCGCAGGGTTGCATGAAGGGGGCGAGTCAGCACTTGTTCTGACAGCCAACGTGTGAAACAAGAGCACAGTCTGGCGAAGCCTTTGTTTGTTGGATGTCCCGCTTCTTACACTGTTCGTTTTACAATGATTATTTTTTTCTATTTATTTATTCTTTGCATTGGAAGTTTTTGTCCCGAAACAGCACGACGAGGCCGTTCATTTCCTAGAATTGAGCACCCACACAAAGTGTACTCAAACTCAGTTTAAGGTCGAGTGGGCATTTCACTTGCCATCAGTTCAAACTAAAAAAAATAAAAATAAAGTGCAATAAGTCATTTGCGAAGCCAAACCGGCATAGCGCATCTCCGATTCAATATCGATGTTAGCTCATTTAACATGGAGTCAAAATCAGATTCACCAGTGCAGAATGTGAGGATGGCAACCCCAAGTGGACAGAAATAAGAGCCGCAAGTCTTGCTAATGTCTAATAGGACTGTCTAACCGGTGCAATATCCATCCATCCATCCATCTTCTAATCCGCTTATGCTCACAAAGGTCGCAAACGTACTGGAGCCTCGGTGCAATACCTGGAATGTAAAGACATTTGATCGTTATAGCTTCTCTAAATGTAACAGTGATGATTCGCCAAAACAATATGTGCAGCAGAACGTGCTATGTCCAAGGCCCGTTTCTATTTATAGCCGCGAGCAGACACAAGTGGGAGACACAAAGCACTGAGTCAGGAATTCTGCTTGTCAAGGCTCACTAGTTTGAGGGTCTTGAGTGACGGTGTTTCCCAGTCCTCCATTGTACTGTGTCCTGTATGTTGTATACAATTTGGGAAAAAGAACAGAAACCGGACTATCCCAAAAATAGGTGGAAACAATCCGGAATTACATTTAAACAACTTGCAACATTTGCATTAGAATTTCTTGAATAGAATAACACCACAGAGTGAGCCCCATGAGTTTCTGTTTGGGCATTTATGAACTTTGGCTTTGGGGAACCCATTCCCAATTATTTGTGGATTCTCCACTTCTGATTCCTTTCGAACGTGTTGACTTTGCGCAGGAAGTCTCGTTTGCAGGGCCGCTGTCACCCTTGACCTACTTAATGTGAGCTGGTTGTCGTTGCTCTGCAGGCACGCCTCATTGTGTCACATGCGCGTGCGCACACACACACACACACACATCGCTCTGCAGGCACGCCTCATTGTGTCACATGCGCACACACACACACACACACACACCAATCTGTTACGCAAAAGGCACGTAGAGAAGGTGTTGCGCACATAGGTAATGTTCAACTGGTGCTTTTGGAAGATCAACACACACATACATCGGCTGTGCGTGTGTGTTCATGCGCTATTGTGTCAAGTGTGTAGCACGCTTTTGGAAGATCAACACACACACACATACATCAGAAACGAGGCTGTGCATGTGTGTTCATGCGCTATTGTGTCAAGTGTGTAGCACGCGTGCAACATGTTTGTGCGGCGACTGAGCATGATCAGCAGTTTGAGACAAAGCCCCCCCCTAACATAAAAAAGGGGCGCCAAGTTCCAGGCTTGTTTTCCATCTATACGCCCCCCCCCCCTTCTTCTTATAGGGCGTTTGCGTTATGTAACGTGCGCTGCACTGAGCGCGCTCAAAATTGCTTATGTAAGTTGCCGCTCGCCTGCCGTCCAGCTGACGGGGCGGCTCAAGCCTGACGTTTAGGTTGTGCGTAACCTATGGCGTGCAAATGGCACTTGGGCCATGGATAAACCCCCTCCGCCCCCGACAAATGGTTAGAATGTATCACACCTACAACTGGCTTCATTTCCGCGAGCTTATCAAGTGGCGGCTGTTTAGAAAGCAGAGTTTGGCCGGACTGTCGGCTGTTATTTTGAATCAAGGAGTTGACGCAATGAATCACTTTGAAAATTGACAGTCGCACGACTTCATTTGGACACACACAAAAAAATAATAACAATCATAATGCTACTTTAACCCTTTCATGCAGCGTATAAGCTGTCCACTTTTGGCTTCGTGGGCTAAAAATCCAGCAAGCGCCAATGCTAATGTTAGCATCCACGATGCAGCAGCCCTCTTCTTCTTCTGTTTTTTTTTTTTTAGCTCCTTAAATGCGTGAAATAGGCTATAAGCTTCATGAAGTAAGGACACGGAGACCTTCCGGTGGTGAGGCGCTCCAAAATGAGGTTGTTGTTGTAGTTAAGCATCTTATTTGCATTAATCTGCCTTTCTGCGATGTGGTCCAACAAACCGCTTTGCGTCGTTAAACTTCACCCGCTGGAGGCTGTGTGTGTGTGTGTGTGTGTGTGTGTGTGTGTGTGTGTGTGTGTGTGTGTGTGTGTGTGTGTGTGTGTCCCCCACACCCCCTGCTATTTGATTGAGATAGCGTTGGGTGAAACAGCAGGGCATGGGCTATTGGCACACAACTTAGTTTTTTTTTTATTTTTTATCAGAGGTATTTAATCTTTTAACCTTTTATGTTTGTGTTTTTTGTTGTCTGGCCTCAAGCTAAAGTTTAACTACGGAGGAATCTTTGCAGTCGTGAGCCAGTTTTTTGTTTTTTTTTTTTTTTTTTTTTAACAGTATCTAGAGCAGCGGTCCGCAACCCCCGGGTCACGGACTGGCACCGATCCGTGGGTCATTCGGTAGCGGGTCGCACAGAAAGAATAAATAACTTAGATCCGTTTTATTCATTTTGGAATCTGAAAAATGCTTTATTTTGAAAAATTACCAGATTCTCTGATACATCCGTCTACAGTATGCCACTCTTGACTCAGGCAAAGGCGCGCTTCTCGATCACATGATAGGTTACCGCTAAAATGAAACCTAGAAGCTAGCAAAATGAGTAAAAAAACAAAACGTCTTTGGAAAGGGGAAAAGACCCCGGGCTAAGAGACAGAAGAGGAGACTACGAATTTCAAGAAAAAGAACCCTACATTTAATAGACTGTATTAGGATTTCCTACTTAAAATACGGATTTATCTCAACGGGAGATTCCCACGCACCAAGCCCACTCTGCATAATATGCGGCGATGGTGAGTCGTATTTTTCATGCACTTTGTATTTGCGGCGTATCTTAATTTGAAGGCAGGTTTAAATGTTACCATAGCGACCAGAGAGTATTGCGGCCAGATAGGACGTTCCTCGTGTCATGATTCGTGTTTATTATTATGTTTGGAAAATACCACGGTTTTCATGCAAATTACATCATATTAGTTTGTTGTAAGGATGGTCCCTGAAAGTATTGTCTGACATGAAATCGATCCATGGAGCAAAAAAGGTTTGGGATCTAGAGTATCTAGTTGAAACATTCTTTGCTTGAAAAAAAATGTGGGGTGAGAAGGAAAGGGAAAAAAAAACCTGATTTCAGCCACAAAATATAGAAGGTAGCATGGACGTCCCGTACAAAATAAAACGATCACATGTAAGTGTGCATCAACACAAAATTAGGTGACTGTCTAATCAAGAAATCGAGGACCCGTGTCCTAAACTGAACAGGAAGTTGTCCATTTGGTGTAAATTGACATAGCTTGTGTTCCGCAAAGGAATTGGTCCAAATGATCGTCGATTCAAAGCTGGCGTCAGACTATTTGTTGCGATGTTAAATTCCAAGGATGTTTTGCTCATGCCATCTATTACAGCTCATGCACGGCCAACGTTGTCATCTCCACGCCTATTGACTCCCAAACGTCGCCTTTGTTTTAATGCCATTTGGCGCCGAGCGGCAAGAGCCATACGACATCAGTTTCTAAGTGCAGAGTGATGGGAGAGTTTACTGCAGTTCATTGACTGCTAGTAACCCCCGGCATTTGGGAACGGCAGCACAAACCGCATTGTTGGGACGGAAACTCTTGCGGGTGATTGGCTGCGAGCGACTGCAGCGTCCAAGCGGCGGTGTTGGGTTTCACTTTGTGTAGGAGAGACGTTTTGTTCTCGGCATCCCCCTCCAGGTGGAAGATCCTACATTGGTACAGCAGTTTTAGAGAGAAACCCAAAAGCCTTTAACTCTCACAACAAAATATTTTTTCAGACCAGTTAAATGGCCTGCTCAAATCAGTTAGCCAAAAAACAGAACTCGTCCCAACCGCGCAGATGTTATGTTGGCCGAACGGGTGTCGGGAGCTCGAGCCAAAACCCACCAAAGTTTGTGGCTACAAAATTTCGGCCTTCCGCCAGCTGTGGCCCGCAGCAGTTCTATCACCCGGAAACTTACTGGACAAACTTTTGAACGAGTTCCATTTACAGCACGGCTCATTTTTATTTATTTACCCTGCCGGCGTGAGAAGCGGTTTTGTTTTTGTGCCGCTGCTGCCGGAGAGTTGCTCGTTCCCTCGCATTCCGCCTCAGGGCAGTCAGACTAAAAGAGCTGTCAACTTCCTTGCCGATTCTTTTTAAAAATAAATGTTTATCCTGAGCCAAACGCCAGCACCTGTTGACATGGGCGGGTACCAGTCGACAACTGTGCGCTGGGCTCGCCGCGGTTGACTCGTGTTACATTCGATTTTGAGGACCACCGCCTCGGATGTTTGGTCATTGTCGTCATTTGTTGGTTTGTAGCGCACCGCTGTCGTTGCCGTCGCCTTGTTACGTTTTTCTGTCATGACCCAGAATGTTCAGTTGTTATCATCCATCCAGCTGTCCATTTTCCGATCCGCTTTATCCTAACAAGGGTTGCGGGGGGGTGCTGCAGCCTATCCCAGCTGTCTTCGGGCAGTAAGCGGGGGACACCCTGAACCGGTTGCCAGCCGATCGCAGGGCACACGTAGACGAACAACCGTCCGCACTCACACTCAACACCTCGGGACAATTTAGTGTTCACTCAGCCTGCCATGCATGTTTTTGGAATATGGGAGGAAACCGGAGTACCCGGAGAAAACCCACGCAGGCACGGGGAGAACATGCAAACTCCACACAGGGAGGCCGGAGCCGGGATTGAACCCATGACCTCTGCACGGTGAGGTCGACACGCTAACCACTGGGCCGCCCAGTTGTTATCATCACGTCAATATTAGTTTGATAGGATTACAGGAGCAACAGAACGGTGGTAAAATGTTGCGGTAGAAAGCTATTTGTGGTTTAACAATTTTGAATTGGATCCAAATGCAGGGAGTTTGACCTCGGCAGAGGTCTGCACAGACGTTGCGAGAACTCAAGAGGCAACCATAAACGGATACAATTCTGCATTTGACTCGATTGAGAAAATGTCCGTCTCAAAAGGTGTTGGGCTGCATTGATGCTCGGCGACCGATGGTAACCCGGCTCCGCCTCAACTGTAGTAACCCCGGCTTGCGCCTTGCCCTGTAGTAACCCCGGGTCGGAGCCCTGCCGCTCTCCAGTCTATTGTTTGCATCAGGTAGGTCCGCAAAACCAGCGGCGCTGCGTCACATGACTCCCGCTGCGCTTCACACAATGGAGCAGTGTTTGTTGTGCTGCGTGCAAGAGGGTAGCCGGTGGGCTAAGAACGGGATGTTTGACAGCATATCAAAGCACTGTTTGTTACACCCACGCTCGGTGGGCTACACCGCCAGCTTGTTATGCTCTGGCTTTGTCGGGAGCGGCTCTTGCAGTTGAAGTCAATTCGGCCCCCTGAGTATGTCTCGGATGGCCCCTGAAGCCCGGATAAGGAAGCGCCGCTGTCGCGGTGTTGTGCCCCCCGCGGACCAGCTCCTCGGAAGAGACCGGCAAGAGACTTGAGCTATGTTTAAGTCGAACAGTTTAACATGTTAAAAATCGAACTTGAGTATCTGTTGTCTTGGAAAGGTTGCCATATCCGCCATTTCAGCACGGGGCCGGAGACACAAAATACTGCAATCAGGACTTGCTGGACTAAGCTGGTGTCTGGTAGTCAACGTCAAAGCCCCGTTTCGATTTTCAGTTCTTCGCTTTCCCACAGTTTCCGCCCTGTCTCTGATGATAACCCCAAAGTAGGGTCGCTTCATCGCCCACCATTCCACATCTCGTCTAGACTTCTCGTCCAGCTAAAAAACAATACTGGCTCGCTGTCGCATCCAACATTTATCCTTCTGTGCCTTTTATATAGAATGCAGCAAGGTGGAATGCTACTGCGGCATCCTGCAAGTCACATCTTAATTAACGAGGGGGAAATAACTACTATCCGGTGCTAAATTCTCACACCTCATTTCCAACATTTCAATGTTACTTTTCACACAGTCGCCGTCTGGCCTGTTTTACCTGCGACACTACCCCGAAGCTAATAAATGGGTTGCCTTCAGGCACCACCAGTCCATACCACAGCCCAATCAAACGACTCTTTTGAGACTTTCTCCGGCTCACCGTCCTTTTGTCTAAGGATCCGATGCATCATGCTGGAGTTGAAGTCATTCCCAAACGAGATCATGTAGCTTCGTGGCGGATGTGAGGCTTACAAAGTGTACCGACGTGAGTCACTAGTAGGCCTGCCCAACCTGATTTACAGTTCCAATCTTCTTAAAAGTTACTGTGCTAGAGGTCAACGACAAGGAGGCGTTGTAGGCTGAGGTTACTTCAGTTCAAAAGACTGAGTGATGATGTCATGGTGTACTCGTCTCCCGCTGTTGAAGAATTCCTTACATCTTGTGGACAAAACAATGGTCAGCCGCCCACCTCCCCAAGCCGACGCGTATTTTTCACAGTGGTTGCTGTTTTCTTTGGCCGGGCCAGAACTCTGTGTTCTCGCCACGTTGTTCGAGCGGAACATAAACAGTTTCTCCTCGTAATGCCGCCGCGTTTTTCAATCGAGCTGAGCCGGCTGATAAATTTCACCCCCCACAAAGCACCGTGCGACGAAAAGTAGCAATCGCTGGCCAAATAATGTCACCAGCACCTGCGGTGAGACTCAAAGCTCTTCTTCCTGGAACTTCTGATTGTGCATCTTTACCAAGGCACTGAAAACAGAAAGTGAGTCATTGTGACTCTGTCGAGGGCGCCTGTTCTGCCTCTTTGTGTTGCAGTTGGCCCGGTCACATAGTCAGGACTTCTAGTACACTGAATCAGAGATTCTAGCGGTAACCGGACTCCGTTTGTCCCCCCAGACACATTTTCTTCACACATGTGAAAGAGGACCTCCACAACGGCCACCTGCGCATGGGCTCGGAGCAGGCCGAGGAACTGAGCGCTCTGCTGGCCCAGGCCGAGTTCGGCGACTACAACCAAAACACAGCCCAGTATTGGTACTCGGAGCTCTGCGGGGAGGAGCCGTGTCCCGCTACTGTCAACAGGTAAGGGGGGAGTTACACCATGTATGTAACAAGTGCAGTCAGAGATCAATACGAGTCGGGGCATTGCTCTTTTAAGTTCTTACGCAACCTGATGACGGTTCCAGAGGGTCACGGAGTAGTGTGTTCATTGACTACTGTACGAGATCGATCGAGATGTTACTTTGTTTCGTTTTGTCTGCTGAATAAAACTGCCGACCTGTCATCACAGCATCGTGTCCAGACACAAGGCCCTGGAGGGCTTGAGCCAGACCTCGGTGGAGTACCAAGCCCTGCAGCTGGTCTCTTCGCTGGAGCACTATGGCGTGGAGTGGCACTGGGCCCGTGACGCCAACGGCCAGCGCTTGGCCATCGGCGTCGGCCCCGAAGGCATCGCTGTGTGTAAGGAGGACTTTAGCCTCATCAACCGGTGGGTCCCTCCTTCCACGGGCCTCAAAAGTAAATGTTCCTCTTCAGCCAATGGCCTGAAGCGGGCTTTGGGGTTTTGGCCGCGCTGTGCGATAAGAAATTGACGCCCCCTCACCCGAACATGTCATTGATAAATGCCGCCTCTTCTGCGCAGAGTTAGCTACCCCGTCATTCAGATTGCCACTCAGTCAGGCAAGACTGTGTACCTGACTGTCACCAAGGACAACAATGACAGCGTGGTGCTCATGTTCAAGCTGATCAGCAACCGCGCCGCCAGTGGCCTATACCGAGCCATCACAGAAACCCACGCCTTCTACCGGTAAGCGGACCATTCAGCGCCGCCAGTGACAACAAAGCTATTTGCAAAACAAATCGAGCAACTTCTTGCCGGTAACTCCAAAACGTTATTGAAAAGTCACTGTTCAAGTTGTGCCCTTTGTCCCGTCCTTTAAGGTGCGACACCGTGACCAATGCAGTGATGATGCAGTACAGCCGCGACTTCAAAGGCCACCTGGCATCGCTCTTCCTCAACGAGAACATCAACCTGGGCAAGAAGTACGTCTTCGACATCCGCCGCACCTCCAAGGAAGTCTACGACCACGCGCGGCGCGCCCTCTACAACGCTGGCATGGTGGATTTGATGTCCCGCTCTGGGGGCGAACGCTCGACACACCCGCGCTCGCCCAATCGCCAGGACGGTTCCGACGACGACGACGACGGCTCCGACTGCGGCAGCTGCCAGCAGAGTCGGGCGCTGCAGGAGCGGCTGCACAAACTGCAGGAGGCGCTGTTGTGCATGCTGTGCTGCGAGGAGCAGATCAACGCCGCCTTCTGCCCCTGCGGGCACCTGGTGTGCTGCCAGACATGCGCCAACCAGCTGCAGGTGAGACTCGGGTCTCGGCCGCCGACATTTTCAGGCCCATCCCCAACTTAACTCCCTGCTATGCCTTTGCATTAGAGAAACCGCCAATACGAAAATGAAATCGGTATTTATCAAATGACAAAGTCAAGATGCATCATACTGACTAGTAAATGTAAGGTGTGCAGATTTTTGCTAGTTGAACCTGGCTTGCTCTGAGCAGCCAACCGGAGAACAGAAAAATGGTGATGTCATCAGCTAGCCTTGTGAACACAAATTTCACATCTGCTTCGTCAAAGAAACAGTCTCACTTCTAATATAGTTCAAGCCAGTTAGGACAGGTAAGGGTGACTTAGAACTGTTTTCGTGTTGTGATAAAATTCACCTCCATATCAATTTTTTATGTGGAACTTTGCTACTTGTCTACGACAGTCGCTTACTGAAATCTGTGTTTTCATATTTCAAAAGCCAACAGCGAGCTATGCATGAAAACCCCCTGACTGTGTCTTTCCTATTTCCTGGCAGTTGTGTCCGGTGTGTCGCTCGGAGGTGGAGCACGTTCAGCACGTCTACCTGCCCACCTGCACCAGCCTGCTCAACCTGGCTATGAATGGCCAGCGTGCCAACCGCGTGGTGGGCGGCGGCGGCATCCCCGCGTCCATCTGCCGCGATCTGGCCTCCCCTCACGACTGCGACGGCGACGACTACAGCAAAATCTTCACGCATACGTGAGGGATGCCTCAGACATTTTTTTTTTTTTTTTTTTTTTTTTTTTTCGGTGTCTGGTCCCCGAAAAACCTCCCGGTGTGTGTGTGTGTGTGTGTGTGTGTGTGTGTGTGTGTGTGTGTGTGTGTGTGTGTGTGTGTGTGTGTGTGTTTGTGCTGCCAAATGATTTTCGTCCTCTCCACCACGAACTTCAATGATCAGTTGAGCTGATCCGTACGTCACCCCTCTCTCGCCTTTTATCTTGATTTCAATCGTTTTACTTTTTAAAGCTTTCCCAACATTTTAAATTCACTCAGCTTTTATTGAACAAGTGTTTCTTTTCGATTTTTGGTTCATGTTTGCAAGCCAATGAGGAGACTAAATTAGCTCTCGGATCCACATGCACTCAGTACACAGATTGCAAACACTCCGCTTTCTAGCAGACGATTTGAAGTACATCATTTCCATGAGCATCTCTCATTTTGTACAATTTAGCGTGGGGGGTGTTTCAAGATCAAACTTGGCCACCGTGTTCCACACAAACACACGCTCTGATTAAAAACTCAGTCGTCAGACAAATTTGCATCACCTCCAAAAATGGCAAAACGGATCCTGTAATGCCTGCCTCAAAAAAATCAAAATGGCATCCGGCCCCTGCTTTGAAAGCCTCCTCTCGAAGATGAGAGAAAAGTTCTCGTGAGGTTTTTGAAAGGGTACAGAATTGTGTGCAATAACTGCCTGCTTCATGTTTTCTTTTTATTATTTAAATGTCAACTATTTAAAATGAACATTGCCACTTTACCAAGGAAGCTGCATCCACACGTTTGTTGTTGTTTTAGACTTTTGGCCTTAAAATAGAAGCACCGCCATCGTTGTTTCCGATGCATTTTTTTCTCTCTTTCTTTCTGCTGCAAAGAAGAAGAAAAAGTTTTTAATTTTTCACAGGTAGCGATTTGTTTCTGTTTTCTGAAGCATTCTACGCTTTCTAAGATATGATGTCTGGACAAAGTAGTAATAAAGTTTTGGTTTTTTTTAATGAATACAAGCTTGGCTTTTCATTCGTTGGGTGATGTGTTTAATCAAATATGTTTTTTACGTGTCTTCGCTTCCTCAATTCGGCCCAATTAGCTTCTAAAAATTACAGTTGCGTGTAGGGAACAACAACAAAAAAAAAACGCATTTGCGCTCACGAGGAAAGCAAATTAAATGTTTCAAAGCTGATCGACAGGTTTGGAAGAGGAAGTTTCTATGTGTCCAGTCAACAAACTCATTTTCAAATTCTTTCCATGTGTTGTATTCTTGTTGTCTAGTCATGTGCGGTACTTAATTACTCTGTGGTGGCATGGGGACACCCGGACAACTCAACAACTGGAGTTTTTATTTTACAGAAAAGGGCAATCAAGATTTTGTATTGACTTGTGGAATACCGTGGGGGGGCTTTGAGCAAACAAAATTAACATTTAAAAATACTATAAAGTAAATAGCTTGACGGGCAGTGGAAAAAAAAAAAACATGATTTAAGGTGGCACAAGGCCCCAGTTGGCTACTTTGTCAACAGAGGTAGGGCACCTTTACCACCTTTAATAAGTTTAAGACCGGAGAATAAAAGTAAAAGTAAAACTTAAAAAAAGAACACGTTTTTAATTGATGAAAGGTAGTGGGCAGTGGATGGTTGACTTTGGCAATGGAACTTGGGGCTCCTTTATAATCACGTTTTCCCCTTTCATTTTTTTTTACTAGATTAGGGAGAAACATTTTGGGTTTTTTTTTCCATGATCAAAATAGTTTTTAAAAAAATTTTCAGGCGCTTTGCAAAATCTCGATAAGTTCCGTTTTGTGAGTAGCATGTCACTTACTCCTCCTTGCCCTGTAGTTTAGTTACAATTGATTTACAGGATAAGATCTGCAAAAGGTCCATTTAAAAAAAAAAGGTTAAAAGTTAACTCAACACAATTGTTTTGGAATTCCTGGCACACAATTCCGTGCGTTTCTGGTTGAAAGTAGTTAACTGTTAATCATGCAAGGATATTTCCCCAAAAGCTTGGTCGAGTTTATTATCTGAATCAAATATTGACAAGGAGAGAGGATGTGAGCGTAGCGTTTTTTTGTTTTTTTTCCCCATGCATGACTCCCTGGGTGAGACTTGACATATTGATGTTATGTTTTAGGAAATGCATTTTCTCAATCGACGTCATGTCATGGCAAAGTCCAGCGAGCAGTGCCGCGTGGTCCATCCGGCGCGAGTGCGTGCAGTCCCGCTGATAAGGTGAAGTTCGCATTGCTCGTGCTGATTACGAGACGCGCTTCGTGTACTTTTGGTGGTGCTACGAAATGATTCGACTCGTTTCCTCTTTCTAACGTGATCAAAAATACACATGATTGGGGTACGAGTCATGAAAAGGGCAAGGCAGGCAGGCATGCCAACAAAGGAAAAGACTACAATGAAAAACTTTTGCTTTTAATTTGCCTATTTTATGCATTCATTTCAAATACATTATTTGATTCAGTATTTGCTCTTAAAGTGTTACACATAAAACAATTTAAAAATATATATTTTCAACATTTAAATTGACTATTTGTCTTACATATAAGTGGTTAATAATTTTAACTTTAATCTAGGATCTAGGATACACATTTTAGCCTTCTCTCAAATAAAAATTGCAAGAAATATTTTATATAAACAAATATATGTGCACACACATACGTATTTGGATACATACACATTTTAGCCTTCTCTCAAATAAAAATTGCAAGCAAAAGAAAATGCTCTCTGGTAATAATTAAGCCAACTGCGTTCACATAACCATGTTCGACTCATCCACTTGACCCAAGAAGATTGCCCTGACCCACAAGCAGACTTGTAACGCGTTTATAATCGACGTCACTTCAAAGTGAGATGAAACGGGAAGAAGCGAAGCATGTTGCCTTCTCTTCAACTTCCAACGTCACCTGGGAAAAGCAAAGAAAAGTTTGAAGCCGCTTTGGTTTCAAATCGTCTCTCACACCTGAACTGAAGAGTTGATTTGGAATCTTTCATTTCTTGTGTAAAATGAAGATGAAAGTACATTTAAACGTGAGTTTTAAAATGTTTATATAATTGAAATACATATTCAATTATTCACCTATTTAAGACCAAACGAGAATTTGAGTATTACTGTTAATATTTGACGTGTCTAACACTGCGCTTGGGTGAGTTCCATGGAAAGCCTCGCGTCGCCATGACAACGCTTAAGCGCGGAGGCTTCCGTTTACTGGAGGTATGCTGCCACCTTCTGGCCGCTTTGAAAGTTACACTTCTATCTGCCCTTAAAGTTTTACAGTTTTCGAAAGCGGCGATTTCTTTCAGGTGAGGTCTTAATTTTAAAAAAAGTATTGATGACAATTGAGGAGGATTTGCATCCAGTACGACCACTGGAAATTCCCCGAATTCACCTTCAACCCAAAATCGCTCGACTCCTTGTGCATTTGACCGTGTTGATTCGAAGTGGATTTTGATACGTCCTGTCCCAATAAACAGCCATATCAAATTTCGTGTGAACGGGACTAACTGGTGCCTGAGGCGACTATTTTGCACCCCCCCCCCCATCCTTTAAACGGCACGTTTCACAGCTAGGGTTCAAATTATATTTCCATCGTTCGGTCGCAGTGAACAACCTGTGCCGGATTTGGTGTCAATCTAACTCACTGATGCCGCACAGCAACCATTTTCCAACCGATCCGAAAGCCAATGTGGCCCTCTTGTGGTTTGCTCGCAATGCTCTTAGTGGACAGCGGGTGTGCTCTTTAGCACTGCAGCACACGCCACTGCAGTGTGTGTGTGTGTGTGTGTGTGTGTGTGTGTGTGTGTCACTGGAGGAACGGGAGATGAAAGAGGAGGAGGAGGAAGATGAATAGGACGTGAAGGCCCAAAAAAAGTCATGGGGGCCGGGGTAGGGCTGGACCCCTTTTTGCTATAAATACACTGGCAGCTCGGAGGCTCGGATTTGGTGGTTTGGGCTTCGGACACGAGACCCCCTCCACCACCGCCGTAGGTGCAGTAGTTGCCTTCTTCAAAGGAATTACATCGTCATCATCTAGGATGCCTCGTGTGGACGCAGACCTCAAACTGGACTTCAAGGATGTCCTATTCCGGCCCAAAAGGAGCAGCCTGAAGAGTCGCTCCGAGGTAACATTGTCGCCGTTGCAGGCAGGAAGTAGGCACACCCCAAAAGCCAAATCTGCTTTTATTATGCAGAATGTCGTGTACATCTTTATGTTTGAGTGGTGTGGTGGTGGTGTTGTTGTTGTTGTGTAATCAGAGCTAATGGCTGCAGTTGGAGCTGTGTGACCTTCTCCAAAGGTGAAAAGCACTTCAGCGTGCAAATGCTCCCCTTGTCAGGAATTAGCTTTGATTACATTCTTATTTAGTGAAGCTTTCCTAATTCGCTCCAACAAGTCATTTGAAGCTAGCCAAATAGTGAACTAAACCAAAAGACATGGAACCGTCCCACCCCCCCCAAACAAAAAAAAAACGTTCCTTATACACAGTCGACCCTCGTTATATCGCCACTCTTGGCGATCTCTCGGTATATCAACATTTTAAATGCTAACAAGCCCATTCATACACCAGCTGCAAAATAGCTAACAGCTCGCCGCTATTCTGAGCCAACAACAGCCGACGCCACGTTATCATTAGCCGACTCCCACATCACTCACCAGACCAGGTCACAAGAGTCGTTGGTACACTACAGTCCTGTACAACATGAGGATGGACACTTCTAGGGGATAAAATTACATACGAATTATCTGGGGGAAGAGGAACATTTTTTTTTACTCTTGTAAATTGCAACTAAGCATAACCAAAGTCCCTTTCACTGGAAAAAAAGGTCTCTTTTTTTGTAACATTTCATCTAACTTGAAAATAATGTAGCATTCATTACAACTTCAATCTAACACAAGGTTTGTGAAAAAAATGGCACGAAACTCTGCCATAAAAAACAAAGATATGACTGTCTAAAAAATAACAATTGTGAAAATGAGGTTTTATTTTGCCACTGAGGTGAAACAATAACTTGTTTCAGGAAAAAAAATTAAAAGAATGACTGGCTTGATATTAAAATAGAACTTCAAAAATCTGGGTAATAAATAGCATGTTTTCCTTGTAAAATGCTTTATTCTTATAATATTATGGGTTTTATTTTTAAAAACTTTTTTTTAAAACTAAGAAAAAATACAAATGACTTCTTGAATGATTAGGATCTTTTTCTAAACGAAGATAATCAACCTATTCTTTGGGAGAAAAAAAACACCAGCTCAAAAATCAAAAAAACTTGTAATTTGTATTTGTAAAATTACAATTTTATATTTAGAAAAAACATGAGTATCCCTGTAAAATGAATGTTTTTTCATTTCGACAAAAATATGACTGTTCTTGTTTATAAAAAAAAAAACTTGTTTCCCCTCCACAAAACACAACTTCAATGTCGTAAAACGCTGGCTTTTTTTCCCCCATCGGGATAATAGTTTTTGTTTTTTTTCATAATCCATAATCCGACAGCGTGACGGCTTGCATTTGGGTGACCGGCGAATGCGTGACGTCCCCAGCAACCCGAGTCCAGTGGGGCTTCTGGGAAAAGGCGTTTAAAAATAGAAAAATAGGAGTGTGCACATTCTTCATGTGGTAGCGCGACAACACGTACACCTGCCCAATGCGGCAAACCTAAACCCAGGTGTGAGTAAGTCACATTCAATCAACACAAAAGTCTATACACCCCAGGTCGAATGCCAGCTTCTTGTCAAGTACCACTACGATTCCTACGACCAAAACAGTTTATATGTGCGTCATCAAAGGCTCTTTCAGGGGTAGCCGGTGAAATGTGATTTTGTATCATCCGGAACACAGGCACACGCCCAGAGATGAAGGTGTGCACGATTGTGCAAAGATTAACCAATTTGTTTTTTTGTACTTTTTCAACGAACTTGAACCGGTTCGAGGTCACATTCATGGTGGTGACATTTTTTTGAAATGATTTCTCTTAAAAACAAACTGTTAGTCGTTAAGGGCAAATATATTGAAGGGCCTTCAGGCAGTGATCTGTCACGTGCCACTAGAGGGAGACTGCATCCCATTAGTGGCACATGCACCAGACATCAGCTTGAATTCCATCACTCATTCAGGTAGCTCCCAAATTATAATGTACACGATAAGAGTTCTATAAATTCCAGGAGTGAACGCATGGAGGCCGAGTCCTAATTTGTGTTCAGACTTCTAACTTGTGGTACTACTCGTAATGTGTTGTAATATTTGTCCTAGGTGGACCTGCAGAGGACTTTCACATTCCGCAACTCAAAGCAGACGTACTCGGGAATCCCCATCATTGCCGCCAACATGGATACCACCGGAACCTTCGAGATGGCCCAAGTCCTCAGCAAAGTACAGACGTTTATTATGCTTTAAAAAAAAAAAATCATCATTATATGTGTATATAATTTTAACAAAACTCTGATTTTGTGTAGTTTAATTTCATAGAGTTGGTCAGTGAGGGGAAACAATACTGACCCCTCTCTCCTTATTCTATATTACAAAAGACTTGTCTCCAAACTGTTTTGAATATTTTCCATACTTGTACCATTTTGCGAGTATATCAATTTAGTAAACAGGAGATCAAATAAAAGAATAATCGGCGACCTTTCACACAACAAATTAAAAACACATTCAATTTGAGTACCTCCCTTGGATTTCAGTCGAGTTTTGTTTTGTTGAGACCTCAAAAAGGTTAATTGGCCACTTCTCTTGCTTGCAAACACAAGCCAAACTAAAAAGTGCTTTCAACGGGTGCTAGACTGGTACTCACTCAGTTCAACGGGTTGACTGTGGCGACCACGTCGGTGAGCTTGTTGGCGGCTGAGGCAACCAGACAGCCAAGCTGAAGGACAAAGCAGACCATGGAGATGACGGTGCGTCTGCGGCAGCCTCTCACCAGAGCGACTTTGGGCCACTGCTGTGCAAGGAAAAAGTTTCACTTTAGCTTTTCCCAAGGTTCAATACCCATTTATTTTTCTAACAAACACAAGGAATAAATTCATCTCCATTACAATAAACATAATTAGACGTGTTAATTGTCCAAAATGGTTTGGGTCTTGAACACTCTAAATTGTCCCTAGGTGTGATTGTACACGTGCCGCATACATATCCAATTTAAATCCACAGACAAAACAGGTCAATGTGTGGCATTAAACAATAGCGGCATGATTACTCAAACAAAAAATACATTTATCTTTATCTTCCAATCCATTACCTCAACCACTGCAAAACTCCACACTACTATATAGTAGTTGACAAGCAATTTTTGTCAAGAGAAAAATATGAAATAAATAAATCACATCATACTCACCACATATGCTATTGAAGATGCCAGTCTGTGTATGCTAACTGTTCCACTCATAACTACCAGTGTGTGTGTGTGTGTGTGTGTGTGTGTGTGTGTGTGTGTGTGCGCGCGTTCATGCGTAGGTATGACAACACGTCCAAGATGAAATCTGATTGGCCAAAAAATAAATATGCCCACAAACAGCCGGAAGTCGCGCGGCCAAGAGAGATGCTATGAAATGAAGACAAAACACTGTTTGAAGTAAATTAAAACCAATTCATTTAAATTGTGAATCTAGGTCTGTTCTTCTGATAGTGTTTGGGCCTGCAGAGAGGGCTTTGGAAGCCTTGACGGCGCGCCACCGACGTACAGACTGACATACACACAGAGACCAGACCTATAATAATTAAAAATAAGATGACCAGCGACTAACATGAAGCATTTTTTTCCTCCCCCAAATTGAATACTTTGTGATTTGAGATTTTTAAATTCGATTAATTGTTAAGATCTAATAGCCTGCATACAGGCAAACAAAAGTGCTATGCATAAACGTTAGCATGCTAGGTCAAGTCGCTAATTGCGATGAGGATGTTGACATTTTGTACAAAACATCCTGTCTGAGCACAGTAACAGAATAAATACACGAGATACTCACTCTCCATTGGCTTCCAAAGATTCCAAAACGAACCAGAAGCCTCTCTGTGTACTTTTTTGAAGAATATTTCCACGCGAATTATTTGTTCCGGGTCTGCCTCCGTCACTTCCACAAGTGACCAATCGTCTCTCTCGGACCTTCCAGGTACAGCCACGCCTACCTGATACGACCTAATTGGACATTACAGCTCAATAAACCAATAAAATGAAAGAAACCAAAAGATTGACATGTAAACTTAGGTTGGCATCAGACTTAAATTAAACTTGATTTGCACAAATTAACTTTGATGACACGAATGACTAAACGTGGGTGGCTTAATATGTTTTCACTGCTGCAAAGTTAATGATTTTATCTGTCTGCACTTTAAAACATTTTCCTGTGACTAACTCTAATTTCAGCACACGCTGTTTACGGCCATTCACAAGCACTACACGGTGGACGAGTGGAGGAACTTCGCTGCTAATCACCCGGAGTGCTTAGAGGTAAAGCAGCATCCGTTTGGGGAAAAACTCGAATCAATGATCACGCTTGGGTTCCTATTTGGACTTTTTTTACATGACAAAAAAAATAAGTCCTCATCTTTGATTTTTCTTCCTTGAAAAAATACAACTTTATGATTGTAAGATTACTTTTTGGGAGGGGGGCGGGGGTAAAATGTTTAAAAAAAAAATAATTGTCTTCAAACTAAAAAATATATATTTTTTTCTCCATGAACAAAAACCCCAACAACTTATTTGAAAGAAATGCAACTTGTTTTAAGATTACTTTTTGGGAGGGGGGCGTAGGTAAAATGTTTTAAAAAAACACTTCTCTTCACACTGAAAATATATATTCTTTTCTCCATGAACAAACACCCCAACAACTTATTTGAAAGAAATGCAACTTGTTTCCATAATGTAGACAAAGAAAACAAAAAATATGTTTGAAGAAAAAAGAAAAATATCGCTAATATATCTTATCACGTTGGCTTTTGGCTTTTACAAAAACATGTTTTCATTTTAAAAAATAGTTTTTTTTTTTAAAAAGTGTTTTATTTCGAAAATATACAACTTTTGTTCAATAGAAGTCCATATTTTATTCTAAGTGTGACTTATTCTAAAAATATTGCAAAAACATAGCTTTGAACTCTTAACTTTAAGGCTAAGTGAATGTGTTGTTTGTCATTTGGCGTCGCTAGCATGTGGCGGCTAGCTCAGGCAGCGGTAGCGGCGACCTGGACAGGCTGTGCGCCATCGCCCAGGCAGTCCCTGCCCTCAAGTACATCTGCCTGGACGTCGCCAACGGCTACTCGGAGCACTTTGTCGACTTTGTCAAGGCCGTGCGAGTGAAGTTCCCCACACACACCATCATGGTATACACGCACACACACACACTCATCCACAGGGACTTTTATGTAGTGGACCTACAAAGTAACGTCCTCTGAAAATCCAGTAACTAGGGAATAGGGAATAACTTTAACCTTGACATGAATCCCTAGTTTTTTTTTAAAGAGCGGACTTTTTAAAGGAATTGTCTTAAGTCCACTTTACAAAAATCGCTATGCAGTGATAAGGGGGTTGTGGATTTTCTAGGGATAGGAATGAATGAAGTACAAATACTGTACTTTGCTTCTCTACTCAAGTCCATTTTCAGATAGGTGCAATTTGTCTGCCGACTTTCCCGTATGCATCTTTTTTCAGGCCGGTAACGTAGTGACGGGGGAGATGGTGGAGGAGCTCATCCTCTCCGGGGCCGACATCATCAAAGTGGGCATCGGACCAGGTGGGTAGAGCACACCATCTGACATCTTGCTTGGCATGGTTCAGAGGACGCAATTTCACCTAAAATAGCTATTTTATTATCGCATTGTATTATAAATATACGTATCTAGTACCCCGTGTGTGTTTGTGTGCGTCTGTGCATTTTAGGGTCTGTGTGCACAACAAGGATCAAGACGGGCGTCGGTTACCCTCAGCTGAGCGCCGTCATCGAGTGCGCCGACTCAGCCCACGGCCTCAAAGGTCACATAATCTCGGTACGTATGATGAGAATTGAACTATCCTAATAAAACAATCATCATGGTAACGTTGGACAAGTTGCATGAGCAGGTCTTGTTGTCAATGCACGGAAGTGTCCACTAGAGGGAGCCGTCACGCAGTGGCTGGATTGATTGAAGTGTTTTGGGTTTTTTTTTTTCTTTTGTGGCTTTTCTCGGGGTCATGTTCAGGATGGCGGCTGCAGTTGCCCTGGAGATGTGGCCAAAGCCTTTGGTGAGTCCATCAGGGAGCAAGTGTGAGTTCACTGTGCAAAACAATCAGACACCTGGACTAATATTTGTCATTCAAGGGAAACTCGAGGGAACCCCCCCTGACCACCCCACTAGGCTAAACTAGGCTGATATAATCAATATTGCATTGGTGGCATAAGAATTAAGCAGATGAATCCACACATTTTCAACATATTTGACGGCAGACATTTTAACCAACGCTGAAATTGATGCCAAAGTGCCCTGGTAGAATTGCAACTGGTCTAACATTTGACCCGCAGGTGCGGGCGCCGACTTTGTGATGATGGGCGGCATGCTGGCGGGACACGACCAGTGCTCGGGTGATTTGATTGAGAGGAACGGCAAAAAGTTCAAACTCTTCTACGGGATGAGCTCAGACACGGCCATGAAGAAATACGTGGGCGGCGTGGCAGAGTACAGGTAACACTTGACTCCCATTAATCGAGGGGCCCCACAGTCAAACAACAACTACAGTGGCGCTTGGACCCAGACCAAGAATATTATTGATCTGCAGAAAAACACAATTTGCAATGACTTGCATATTTTGGGTCAGGGCGTCAGAGGGCCGCACAGTGGAGGTTCCCTATCGGGGCAACGTGGAGGATACGGTGCGCGATGTCCTGGGCGGCGTGCGCTCCACATGCACATACGTGGGCGCCGCCAAGCTGAAGGAGCTGAGCCGCCGGACCACCTTCATCCGCGTCACACAGCAGTCCAGCCAAATGTTCGCCTAGCGTCCCCTGTGGCCCGGCCGCTTCAGGACATCTCAGGATTCTTTGCTGTCAACCACCTTGACGCCCTACCGATATTGGACAAGGAGCTCGGAAACATACTTACAGCGGTGCCTTGACGTCCATGAAAACACGGCAGTGAATGGAAATACACAAAGACGACGTTCAGAACAGCTCAGTAAGCTGCATTCATGATAGTCGCTTCTCCCAAGTCGAGTCACCACTGCACATGGCACGGAAAGACGACTAAGACACCAAAGTCTCGTTTTTCGCTGCTCTATTGATGGAGGTCAAGAAATCTGCAAAAATCTCACAATGTCACTTTTTGTTTCAATGCAATAAAAGTGCACGTGGAGACGTCTGCTTCCGACCTCACTTGTGCTCGTCATTGTTGTTTTATTTTTTTTACTTTGCCAGGGTTTTTTTTTTGGGGGGGCAGGGGGTTACGGCTCACTCTTTCATAAAAAGGCATATTTTAGATTATTATCAAAAAAAAGTTGGATATTTTTGAGGGTTAAAAACTATTATTTTCCATTTTTTTCTGACAGTTATTTTCAATGAAAGAAGTTCGATACAATTTGAGAAAAAGTTGGGATATTTTCCAAAAACAAAATGTCACCAGTGAAAAGGTTTGTAGTGTACTAAGAAAAGGCAAATATTTTCAATTCAAAAGTTGTACATTCTGAAAAAAAACTCATTTTACAAGGAAAATATCTTCCGAATGGGAGGTCAATATTTATGAGGGAATTGGTATTTTGGGGAGAAATGTATTTTTTCTTTTTTTTTTTAGAAATGTCGTATATTTAGTGTGTGTGTAAGTGTGTGTGTATATACATATATATATATATATATTTTTTTTTTGACAAGAAAGTAGTGTTTTTGAGAAACAAAAATGTTTCACATTTTACAAGAAAAAAAATTCATAATCTCAAGAAAAGGCGTATTTTTAACGATTTTTTTTTTAACGAAAGAAAAAAAATTGACTTTTTAAAAAAAGAAAATAGGTTTATATTTTTCGAGAATTGGTATATTTTTTGTGAAAAAAAGCAAAAGATTGTGGTTTTTTTTCTGTAGAAAAAATGTCTGGGGAGGAAAACACGAATGACATTTCCTAGGGGGACTAAAAAACCCGACAGAAAAAAAACAATCAGTTATTGAAATTAGTAATGTATTCCCTCTGAAAAAAAGACTCTTCCCCCCTTTGAAATGCGAACAAAGTACTCTCAAAAATGTTTAAATTAAAAAAAAAAAAAAAAACCACAAACATTAGCGGTGCCGGGGGAAAAAATGAATGCTATGTATGGTTTTTCACAAATTTCACAAAAAAAAAAAGAATTGCTTTGAGTAAGCTACAAGACAAATGTTTGAGCACAAACTACTACACAATTCATCTCAGTTTCGGGGATCAAACTGCGACGACATGCTTGTCGTGGTCCATTTCAATTCATTTTTCATGCGAGTGATGAAGATACATTAAGTGTGGTGCGTGTGACAGAGAGGTGGGCCAAAACACACCCCCGAAAACACAAAGTGCCCGTTTATTCCCGATATGTCAAGATTTCATTTCGTTTTTTTTTTGTTTTGTTTTGTTTTGTTTTTTTCTGAAGAAGTGCATTTGTACACATACGCCAAATACGTACAGCTAGCTGCCAGCTTTTTGCATGGCTAGCCAACAAGAAGAAGAGGAGGAGGAGGGTGAGGGTGAAGAGATGATGGTGGGTACAGTCAAATACAAACTGGGAAACCAGTGCGCCCCCCGCAGGCCTCATTGTCCTTTGCGAGCCACCGTCAAGTCCAGTTCCTTGGCGTGCAAAGACGGTGAAGAGGGGGGCAATCCTGAACATCATCGTCATCATCATCATCAATGTTAATCATGTGAAATTATTTCTCATAAATTTACATGTCGTATACAAGCCAAACAGACCACCTTGGAAATTGATTCAAACAATCAAAGTGGGTCTACTCGTTTTGTTTTTTTTTTGTTTTTTGTTTTTTTAAATCTCTTTTCTGCCTGAGTTGGTTATCCAGCGCTACGGACAAACAATTAAAATAAAATAAAAAATACAAATCCTGATTAAATTTTAAAACACAATAAAGTGCCGACAAACTGGTTTTTTTTCTTCTTTTAAATTGTCATCCAAAAAAAGCGCAAACATTTATTTATTTTTCGAAATCATCAAGTTGTGCAAGAAAAAAAAAAGAGCGAAAAGTGATCCTCCGTGTTGAGGACGCTTGTCGTAAAAAAATAAAATAATAATAATAATAATGTTGACATTCTGGTCATTTCTTAGCGAATGACGTGACAAACTCACAAAAAAAAAAAAAAAAAAAAAAGCCTAAAACAACGTTAGGGTGACAATGACGACGGCGTGGCAGAAGGCCGCCTGCATGGCACCTTGGTCCACCGGACCCCGAACAACACGCCGTCGGATCTTGAGCAACAACAAAAAAAAAAAATTGCGAAAAATGTTGTGGTTGGAAAGTTCGCGGTACAAGATGGCGGATGCCACACAAGACAATGCGGAGGGAAACAAAGAAAAGAGAAGAAAAAGAACATTTATTCTTTTGTAATCTACATTTTCTGCCTTTTTTTCTCCCTCTTTCACCGACCTCCAACACAACAGTCACCCACTTTTATCATTCGTGTGCGAGGAAGTAGCAGTCCTAGATGCAACGTGTGCAAAATAAATTTTGTTGTTTGAATTTTGTGCCTTTGTCGTCTCTCTTCCCCCAGACCCCAATTCAGCAGTCACTTATTTCGTATCATTTGTGCAAGACAAGGTAGTGGTCCAAGATGTGCAAAATAAAATAGGAGGGTGGGAAATGTTTCTTTTTTTTTTAGGTTTTTTTGGGGAGGTTTTGGGGGGGTGGTTACAATTTTTTGCCTTTTTTGTTGTCTCTCTTCCACCGTCGCCCACTTTTGTCATTCATGTGAGAAAAGGCAGCGGTCCAAAATGGTGGTTGCTACACTGGACAACGTGGCAATGTGCAAAATAATTTTGGGGGAGATATTTTTTTTTGTTGTGGTTTAAAATGTCTTGCTTTTTTTTCTCTTGACACACACAAACACTAACCCCCACGCGTTAGCAATCAAAAGTCACCGACTTTTGTCCATTTGTGTGTAGGTTGCATTCCAAGATGGCGGTTAATACGTTAGCCAATGTGCAAAACAACAAAAACCCCGAAAACCATTTATTTCTTTTGAGTTTTATGTTAGAGAGAACAAAAGAAAAAAAGCAAGGCTTTTTCTCTTTTCCTCCAATCAACAGTCAGTGATTTTGTCATTCGTTGGAGAGGTTAGAGGTCAAAGATGGCGGCCACCGCCCAAGCTCGGATTCCAAAGTGCTGAAACATTAATTCTTTAAAAACCTCCACTCACATGTGCATCATCTGTTGTTGTTATGACTTATATATATATGGATTTCATTAAAAAATGTGGTCCCCACTGTGGCAATGAGGTTTGTCTTTCTGAACATTGAGTAAGATTTATCCATTCACGCACACATACACACGAAGGCCGTTGGGGAGGGGGGTTGGCACAACGCAATGTCAATTTGACAGACACGCGGCGTGGAAAGGGGAACTTTAGTTCGTCTTCTATTGCACATGATGGAATATTTATATGGGGCGGGGGCATGAAAAACCCTGGTTCCCTCTCGCTCACTCGCCTGCCTTTGGGAATTACAATAAATGAAATTAGGTGGGAGCCGGGTAAAGCGGTGGCGTAGCGAGGGTTGTCCAGGTCGTCTCCCAAGGACCGCCCCGCCAACACTTTTCAAGCGACCTCCCGGTTGTTTCCTTACAGCAAACCCTAAATCGCCTCCAAGTAGTTGCAATGGTGCCCTAGCTTGACCACAGATTGCTATTCGTCCCCTTCAAAGCTGATCCCTAATTTGCCCTCTCAAGGGGCTCCTGGGTTGGCCCCTACTTTAGCCCCAGGTGCCCTCTGGTTGTCACCTGAGGTTACCCACAAGTAGCCGTCTTAAGTTGCCCCTGACGAAGCTCCTGATTGTCCAGAGGTCACTATGTGGTGGGCCCCAGTTGCCCATTTTTCACCCAGTTTTTGCCACAACTGCTCAATAAGTTGCCCCCATTGTGTTCGGCGGTTGCTCACAAGTCACTTTCAGTCCATTCTTATAGTTTGGCCCCTAGTTTTTCCACTGGCTGCCACTCAGGTAGTTCCTTGGTGGCCCCAACATCCACACTGATCCCTCATTCAACCTCACGTAGATCCTAGGTTCGGTTTTGCACATACTGGTTGCCCCTGATGTCATGTCAAATAAGTTCCTGAATTAGCCACAGTTTACCATCGAGGTTATCTCAAGGTTGCCCTGAGGTCAAACCTACGACACTACCCGAACACCAGCAGGTGACCGCTAGGAAAAATTCTTAAATTGCTCCCTCTAGGTCACTCCCAGGTTCCCCTCTAATTTGACCCTGGTGCCACCTACCCGGGTCAGTCCCTAAATCACCCCCCACCCCAAGTATTTCCTAGTTGCCCTGTTGGTTTGGCCAAGGTGGTTTTCCCCAGGTACCCCCTGGATGATTACTCGATGTCCCCAGGTGGACCCTCGGCTGCTCCCCAAGTCACTTCCTGGTGAACACCAAAATCAACAGTAAAGCAGTTCCTCGGTTGCATGCAAATCCCACTCTAGGTCGCTCCCAAGTTGCCCCCAAGGTTGCCTCCCACTCCTGAAAAGTCTGTTCCCATGGTCACGGCCCCATTTGCATGCCCCGCTACGCCACTGCAGCAAAGGTAGCTGACGGTTATTGAGGATTAAACTGTTGCGCCCCCTGCAGGGAGGGCAGGGGGTGGCGTCTTGCCAGGTATCAGACTCTGGCAGGAGGATTTTGAGGGTTGTGTTGACCTACTGCATACAAACGAGGCCAGAATACGACGATGCGTTCAGGCGCTCCTCAAAAATATATATTTTTTTCCAATGAGGGTTTTGGTTGCTGGAGGATCTCTAAAGAAATGTTTATTGCCAACTACACTACCGGAATGATTGTGTGTGTGTGTCTGTGTGTGTGTGTGTGTGTGTGTGTGAGTGTGCGTGTGTGTGTGTGTACGTAACACACTCGTACACATGCAAAGTGCATGGTATTGCTTTCTTAGGTAACCACAGCAATGCAAGAATGACTTGGCTTTGGCTCCGTTAGTTACATTGTGTGTATTTTAAACCTGAAGAAGAGTAAAAAGTTTTCGAGGTTTCAAGAGGCTGATTGGTTGGGTTCGGTGTTCCAGTGGAGAGGTTCACAAAAATACGTCGTACGCTCTCAAGACACAATACACATCCCAAATGACTTCCGCTTGTGATTGTGAGGTTTCGGTGGAAAATAATGTGGAACCCTGTTTTTTTTTTTTTTGTTTTTTTTTTTAGCATGACAAAATAAAGCATCTTCAGAATCTCATACATATGCACTCCGCATCCACCAAGCACGTTATCATCTTCCTCATCAACCTCCACTCAGTATCCACCCATGCACTTGCTATCACCACTGCTAGCTTGTTTACCCGACAAGCCCAAAACCAAACGCTAAAAGTGAAGCAAGGCAAGGTGCTAATGAGCACAACCTGCCAGTGCCTGTTAGGTTTCCCCCAAACTCTCTCTCAAGTTAACCCCTAGCTTACTTCCAGGTTGTTCCCAAAGCCTGGTTGACCCCTAGAAAACCAACTAAGTTTCCCCCAAGTAGTCACTTGGTTGCCCAAAAGTTGCCCTCTGGGTAGCTAGCAAGGTTGGCTAATGTCTATCTCAGGAATTCCTCCAAAGGTTTTCCCAGGGGGTTTCGCCTGGATACCTTCCTTCCCTTTTGGAGCAAGGCGGGTCCCTCCCTCGATCCACACACTTTGGGTTGCGCCCAAAATAACTCCATGCGTGCGCAGGTTACATCCAAGGTGACCAGTAGCTTGTTTAGTGAACAAGGCTAGTAAGAAGAGCCAAAAATGGGGTAACACAATCATTATGTTTGCCCTTAAATTCCACCCAAGACAGCTTTCCTGACATTGCTAACCAGGCTGACTTCAAGGTGCCAAATAGGTTCCCCAGGATTAACAGCTAGGTGGCTGCTAGCTTGTTTAGCGCACAGCACGCAAAAAGGGGAGTCAAATCCTGTATTTTGTTCTTGTACTTCTTCCTTTCATAACTTTGCTGCTGTGAATTGGGAATTTCTCCATTGCGAGACTAATAAACGATTTCTTATATTATCTTAAATAAAGGGGCGAGGCATGTAGCACCCCCAGAGGGCTTCTATGTTGGCCCTAAAGACACATGTAGCCACCTAACAGCTTCTAACACGGGAAAACTTGTATATCAAGGCACCACTGCATAAAATAGACATGAATGATTAAGAGATTTAGGGATGCTCCAGTGTTTCTGTCTGATCGAAGAAAACAGGGTCCACCCACAAAAAAAAAAACAAAAAACATCTTCTGCATACTGCAAACTCCTTCTTTCCTCCTGATGTGCAAACAGCAAGATTCTCTTTCAAAGATTCCAAAGTGGAAACGCTGGACATTGTCACTCGCTCTCGTTCTCTCGCTTGACTTACATATTTTCTATTTATGAAATGAGTGTATTATTTGTCTATACACGGTATACATAAAGTCTTACACAAACACACCACATAGCACTGTGCAACTGTACTGTTCAACTACGAGTGTGCAAGACGTTCAAATTGCAGTCCGCCGGGGGACAAAACGCACCAAAAACAGAAGAAACTTTTCCATACACCCGCACTACAAATACATCAAATTACAGGGATGGCTTGGACTGTTTTGTGTTGACGTGTGTGTGTCTGTGTGGGTGTGTGTGTGTGTGTGTGTGTGTGTGTGTGTGTGTGTGTTGACAGATATTTTGCACACAAATACAAAGACAGCCTTCAAAACTCGCCCCACCACGAGCTTTTCGTCACAAAAATTCATTAATTCCTCGCCACTTGCGTTTCGATTTCCTTTGAGGCACATCGACGGGACCGCCCGCCCCCTCCCCCCCAAAAAACGGCCCCCTGCTTCGCTCGCCAAAGTGCTGCTGCTGCTGCTACTTGTTACTCCCCCCTACCCTCTGACAAACATACAGTACAGTACTGCGTTAAAAAAATAAAACAAAACCAAAATGCTCTCAGACAGCCTCTCTTTCAATTTTGTTACAAAAATATAAAGTAAAATTTTATCACCAAACACGAACTTTCGCCGCCCCCAGTGTGTTTGCACTTGTACAAAGTTTGATATCTATTTTATAAAACCAACGTTGACCTGTCACAGTTCCGCCGCCCACTTTTTAAAACCCCTGATTGAGGTTTGTTGAACAATCATTGAAAACTGGTGAGACACAAGGAGGATCAAAACTCAGCCGCGAGGCTAAAACGCTAAGCTAACGAGGCGAAAAAAAAAGCATTGTCGCCCCCCCCCCCCCGCGCCCCCTCTCAACAAGGTTACCAACTCATGCTAACGCGCGATGAGCTAGCTTGCGCCACACCAGCTACTGCACTTTGACCAGATCCTATGAACGCCGTCCAAAAAACTGCAAAGATTGTTTGTGTTGGACTACACGACTAATAATAATGCGATAACATGTTGAGCATCGCCGTCTCGACCGTACGGTATTCATGATAAAAAGAAAACCAAAGAAAGTGCGCATCCATGGTTTTGCAAGAAATCTCAAATTTTCTTGGAGTCTTCACTTGCCAATATTCGATCTTCCCTCGATGGTGACTTTCACCTCGTGGGGGATAAAAGTCGGTTTGACCAAGGTCAAGGGCAGTTCCTCTGGTTTTTCCACTTTCCGACACTCGGGGGCTGACCATCTGCGCTTCCTGCTGTTGCTGCTGGTTGGCTTCCTGGGGTCTTCCTTCAAAAAAGACGCCCTTTCGCTGAAGCCGAGATCCCCGTTTTCCACAGCCACTACGCCGTTCTCTTGCTCCCCATGCCTGGAGCCTCGTCCAGCACTGCTCTGGGGGACGCCGGAGACTGTCTTGGAGGCGTCGAGGAGGTACCCGTGGCTGGGGGCTAGGGCTAAGGAAGCGGGGACCGGCTCCGGCAGGTGAGTCTTGGTCAGGGATCCGTTCCTCAGATTCTTGAGGGTGAGCGAAATACAAACATCGCCCACTGAGAGCTTGGTGCAAGGCAGCTCCAGGAGTCGGGCGGTCCGGTCCGGGCAGCATGACGACCATCCCTGGCCGAAAACGAAGAAGGGATACTCCACCAAGACCTCTACACTCACCTGCAAGTGCGGCAAAAGATCCAATCACATTTCTTTTTCACTCTCACCATTTGCTCAAGCTATTTGGTCTCCAAAGGTTTATTTCAGATACAGTGGTACCTCTACTTACGAACATCTCTTGAAACGAAATTTTCAAGTTACGAAATGCCTCAACAGGAAAATATTACCTCTTGTTACGAAAGAAATTTCAAGATAGGAAAGTAAAAATACAGTACGGACTGCTACTTGCAGCTCCAAGTTTCCCGAACGCAACATATTTATAGCTGCTCTGCCATTGGCTACTACCGAGCATCATCCTGTCATCCCATTGGCTAAGAGGGACCTCTACTGTGTGTGTCAGTGTGTGTAGATCAGGGGTGTCAAACATACGACCCGCGGGCCGGAACCGGCCCCCAAGGAGGTTCAATCAGGCCCGCAGAATAATTTAAAAGTGAAAAAATGCATAAATGACACAGAATGAATATTTTTAATGTGCAATTCATTGAATATCCACTGGGGGGCACATTATTTTGATCAGAGTAGAAGACAACATTGTTTTGATCAGAGAAGAAGACAACAGCAACGCAGCCTCAGTCTGTCACTGAGACAGACCCAAAACAGCAGACGCTATCAAGGACATGTGAATACTTTATTTTTTACACATTTAATAGCGCTCTCCTTAGTTTGTAAGGTGTAGGCAGGGATTAAATGTAGATTTGATATGCACATGTGTAAATGGTTTAAAAAATCCTTTCTTTATAAATCTCGTTTAATATTAAAGTGCATGACTGTATTTTGTGGGATCAGTTGCAATGCATATTGGCGAATGATCAAAGTCATTTGCACATTTGTCGAAGGAAATCTAAGGTGATTCATGCAATGTTTTGTAAAAGATATGTTCATTCAATTTCAACTGAAAGGGCGGACCCTTTTCAAGTACAGTTAATATAAAATGAGGAGCTGGGATTAAATGTGTGGCGTCTGAAAAGACATCTCAATACGTCTTTGGGAGTGAATGAGTTAATGTTCTTGTGCTTCTTTCGACCAAAACAAAGGAAAGACATATTATTTTGGTTATTTATAGCAGCGTAAGGTATGGTTTTAATGGTCCGGTCCACTTGACATCTACCGAGGCCGTATGTGGCCCACAATGTGAAATGAATTTGACACCCCTGGTGTAGATAGAATGTGTTTATGCAGCGTCCTTGTCATTCGCCCCTCGGGCCATGAGATGTTCCTGTAGTTTTACGTAAATATGAATCACCCAGAAAAAGTGTTCACCAGTCGGACGATCGCTCACTATGCTGATGTTTGCCTTGGACATTTTCGAAGGATTGTTAAAAGCCGACAAATCAAATGTCCTTGGATCAGTTTTTTACAAAACGCCGGGGAAAAAAAACAACACTTCTGAGAGAGAACATGAACTAAAGAGGGCAAAAAACGACGAGGACGCAGTTAAAAGTTAAATGAGCATCATTATTAGTCTTTATTCTTTGTTTTTTCCATTATGCACAACACTTGTTCCTTTATTGTGCAATAATCTAATTGTAACATGTATTTGTTACATATTTTGATGCATTTTTTTGCTTGAGGAAACATATATGTCTGAATTTGGGAGAGGGGTTGGGGGGGCTTGGAACGGATTAGGGCATTTACATGGAAAACGCGTCTCGACTTCCAAAATTTTCGAGTTAAGACATTTCTTCCCGTACCAATTAATTTTGTAAGTAGAGGTACCACTTTATTTTTAAAAAGTGCCTTACCTGTGAACGGTGCTCGCCCACGGAAAACTGAACGATGGCAAAGTTAGGCGAGGAGCAGCTCCTGTCGATGCGCTCCACCGTGGACGAGTCGATCTTCAGCTCGCTGCTGATCTCGGCGCTCTGGATGAAGTCCTCCATCTTCAGCTCCTCCACACGCTTCAGCTCACCGTCCGCCAGCTGGATAATGGATCCTTTGAAGAAATACGCCGGCAGAGACGGTGGAGCCGCCGCCGCACCGCCTGACAGGGGAGCGGGCGCCATCGACGGAACCACGGGCAGGTGGAGCTGGGCCTGAACCACCGTGCCTGAGGTGACCTGGTGGCATGAGCTACCGGGATTGTCTGGAGTTTCTCCACCGTAGGCCTGGGGAGAGGACGTCACCACCTGGGATGCGGGTGGCTCCAAGGTCGACGCGCCACTGCCGCTGACCGGGATGATGACCGGCTGGGCTCCTGCAATGAGCACATGTTGCTGTAGGCTGGTATGGTAGCTGATTGGCGCATGTTGGCTGCCGCTGGCTTCCGCTATGTAACCAATCACCGGAGTCTGAGGGTAGATATTGCTGGGATGCACCCCCACGGAAAGAGGTTCCACCGTAGAGTTGTGAGTGGTCTGTATAACGGTCTGTGGCGACAGGGTGCTGAAAGAAGCTTTCAGATTGTCTACACCTAAGGGCGACGGAAATGTAAAAGAGTGGTTGGACGACAAAGGGGTGCGGTTGACCGGTTTTCCCAGGAGGATGCTGCCTTTTTCCAGGTGCGTCTTCCGAGGGCTGCCCCGGGATGGTGCCACCTGGGGGTCCCCGTGGCTGTTGGGCATGAGCATGACGGAGGTTCTCAGAGCCAAGGGGTCGTGAGCGTAGTCTGACGGGAGAACCAGCTGGCAGGCCTCGTAGGCGTCGCGCAATTTGACCGCTTTCTCCGGCGTGACCCCGAACTTCCGACTCGGCTCCAGTCCACCGTTGTGAAGCTCTTTGGAGCCTGCGCCGCCATCCTCTTTTCTGGCACTACTGACATCCGTGTAGTGCGCGCCCTGGGTGTGATGGGGCTGCAGGGAGGAGGTGTGAGGTGGGGGCATGGCGGAGGCGTACCGGATGGATGCTCGAGGTTGATCGTATTTGGTGGCGTGCTTCTCGGGGAGCGACGACAATCTCTGAGAGGTGGAAGAGGAGAGGGAGGGAGGCGGAGGGGGAGGCGGAAGAAGCTGAGGGGCGATGTAACCGGCGTATGGGGCGCTGTAGGGCGAAGTGATGAACTGAACGTTGGGGGGCAGTTGGGCGTAGTGGAGCGTCCCTCCCACGTGAGTCTGAGGCGAGGTGTAGACGGCGGGAAGGGACGAGACGAGTCTCATGGAGTCGGACGCGGAGGATTTATACAGAGCGGCGTCCGACTGGGCGGCGCTACGAGGGACGCTCGTGGCGCTGCCACTCCCGCCGGCCACGAACCAGGCGAGGTTCCCCGGGGGCTGGGGCTCGACGGTGGGGGGCGGAGCGATAGGGCAATGGCTTTCCGATG